TATATATATATGAAGTATACAAGGTGTCAAATATACAGAATGTCAAATATACGGGGTGTCAAGTATATAGGATGTAAATATTAAATTTCACTAATTTGCTGTTATTAAATGTTGATAATTTTAGACTCCTGAGAATGAAGAAATGGCAGCTAGAAGATCCGAAAAAATATTTGTAACTGATCGATCTTGTACAGATTTGATTACCTTAATTATTCTAATAGCAGTACTCGGAGGTTTTGTAAGTATTATTTTTCATATACTATAGATAAAAATACTTATATACTAAATTCTATTCTAATCATATAAAACCTTTATATATATATATATATACACACACGTTGATTTGATTATATTTTAATTACGATTTCCGTTTCTAAAAAAAAAAAAAAAAATATAAAACCAAAAAAGGCATTTATGATAACGAATGCCGTGAAAAATGGTGACATATATCGTATAGTATACGGATACGATAATTGCGGAAACGTTTGCGGACGTATCACGCCAAAGGAAACTAATCCAGCATTTAGTTGCAAGGGTGCAGATTACAGAAATTTGCCGTAAGTAAATATCAGTAAAATTTACGTGACATTGTCATATAAATTTGTAATAACAATCTGTAAACATTATTGTCATTTATTTTTAACATCGTAGATATTTGCAAATGAATATATTATCCGATGGTACAAAAATTCGCGAGTGCGTAGCCAAATGTAACGATCCGGAACATTTGTAAGTGAAAATTTTTTTTGACATTCTTTGTCAAATTTATATAAAAAAAAAAAAATAAATAAATAAAACATGAAAAAGCAAAATTAATGATATATGTTTGCAGAATATTATTTTTAAATCGTTGCATACCTAAAAAAGTAACGGATACGGTAACATCTATTGTTAAAAGTCTTGGATTAGAAAATTTTTATAGAGTAAGTAACAATTCTAATTTGATTGGATTAAACAATAAATATATCTATAATAAATAATTAATATAATTATTTTAAATAATATATAAATTAATTTATAGATAATATTTTGATGATTATTTTAGGAAGTATCAACTGATTTAAGAGTGGCATGGAGAGAACTGATGTATCTTTGTTTAATTGCACTTGGTTAGTGACTTAATCAATGTCATCTTCGTCATCGTCGTTATCGTTCATTATCATCATCATCATTATCATCATCATCATGATCATCATGATCATGATCATCATCGTCAGCTATAAATCATGATTGTCATTAATATCATTCCTGTCATCGTCCAAATTCAAACCCAAGTATATTATGATCCATTAATTGTTCAAATCATTTTCAGCATTTTCTCTTGGTATTCTGATAGCGTTTCGTTACATGGTACAATGGATTGTTTATATCGTTTTAATTGGTGTCATACTTGCATGTATAGGTGGTACAACTTATCTATGGTGTGTAATACAAATCGTATTTTTTTATTTTTTTATTTACAAGTAAAACATTATTTTGTCTTTTTTTTTTATT